TGTATTCTGAGGCACTGGCCTAGCGTTCATGATGATGTGATGCCAGTGACATTGGGCCACTCTCACCTTTGCAGGTCACTATGGCGCCTTTCTGCAGGAGGAGTGGGATCTTCTTCAAAGAATGAGTGAGTTGGCAGCATGCCACTGAGTCAGCAGACAGTCTGACAGGGCCCATAGCACAGCTGTTTGGTTGGGGCTCAGGAGAGAACAATGGTGATCCCTCTGCTCTTGGCCCACCTTCCCTGCTGAAAGGAGGTGACTATAGTGTCCCCTAACGTATGCCAGACATCCCCTGAGAACCAGACATTAAGTGCCAGGACAGTGCCCTGACTCCTCGTAGCTCCCATGAGGACAGCCAGGGTTCTTAGTTGCCACCTCTCATTGGAAGCCAGCACACCATACAGCAAAGCTAGTGTGGTTCTGTGTGCTGAACATAGAGGGGCTTGGCCACCTTGGGGTAGGACCGTGCTTCCTTCAGAGGCCATCTTTTTTTCCTCAGTTCTGTTGGCTCATGAGAGACTCTCTGTTCCTGTCACATGCAAAATCCGCGTCTTCCCAGAGATTGACAAGACAGTGAGGTACGCGCAGATGCTGGAGAAGGCTGGCTGTCAGGTGAGGGCCGTGGCTCCCAGGGGCAGCCACTGGGGTCCAGCAGGCAGCCAGGCCTCACACACCAGCATTCTGCCCCCTGACAATCCTCTAAGCCACAAGGAGCTTGCTTCTCCTGCAGCTCTTGAGTCAGGGCTGCAGACAAGGTTTTTCTGTGGGAAGGGCAGTGGGCCTCTTCTGACCTCACATCCAGACCCAGCCTGGTCTCAGACCTCTGAACCTGGCCCCTAGCCCCAGGGTCTTGTCTGCAGGAGAGTAGCATTGGCTCACTACCCCATCTCTGGGCTGTCCAGGCATCAGCCCGGGCTGCTGTAGGTGAGCTCAGTGCCCGGTCTCTGGAGGGCTGGGCATAAGCCATGGGTGTCGGACATGGTCCTCTTCCCCCGTCACACTTGCTGAGCCCAGTCAAGTGTGCTCTGAGACAGGTAGCTCCTGGGAATGGCAGGAGCCATCCTCAGTACCTTGCATCCTGAATTCTTCCAAGTTTTCCCCGTACTTGGGTTTCTGGCTCTTGACTCCTGGTTGCAGCCTGGGGCTCCTCCAAAGGGGCAGGGCTGTCAAGACCCTGGGGCCAGGGATGGATCCATGGCCAGATGACCTTGGCTGTTCCCAGCATGGAAAGCTGAGAGCCTCGAGGGGGCCCTTGTAGCTGGTTTGGGACCTTTGGGTGGAGCAGGTTGAACCAAGTGTGTCTGTCCTAGCTGCTGACTGTGCATGGGCGCACCAAGGAGCAGAAGGGGCCCATGGCGGGAACAGCCTCCTGGGAGCACATCAAGGCAGTTCGGTGAGTAGATATGGTGGGTCAGGTGCCATTGGACTCCATGGAGGTGGCATAAACCTTGGGATGTCCAGCATTACCTGATGTCCTAGAATTACCCAGGAGGGAAGGCAGCTATACTATGGAAGGCAAGGTGTCTCAACAAGACAGAACTTGGTGGGTGGTCTCTGCCCTCTTGGCATGGTACAGGGTCAGGGCTCTTCCCCCACAGGAAGGCCGTGGGGATCCCTGTGTTTGCCAATGGGAACATCCGGTGCCTGCAGGATGTGGAGCGGTGCATCCAGGACACGGGTGTGCAGGGGGTCATGAGCGCAGGTGAGTGTGGGTGCCTCCGCCGTGCTGTCTTTGTAGACTGTGTAAGTAGATGGAGCCCAAGCCACGCCCTCAGGAGAGGTTTTCCAGACTTGCCAACCCCATAGCTAGCTGGCGACCTGCGGGGCCAGGGGTTCCAGGCTCTCTTCCTTCCCCTTCCCAGAGGGGAACCTGCACAACCCTGCCCTGTTCGAGGGCCGCAGCCCCGCGGTGTGGGAGCTGGCCGAGGAGTACCTGGGCCTTGTGCAGCAGCACCCGTGCCCGCTGTCCTACGTCCGGGCCCATCTCTTCAAGCTGTGGCACCACACGTGAGTGGCTCCTCACAGGCTTTCAGGGCGGCCTCTCTAGGCGGCGTCCCAGTCCCTGCCTGGAGTGTTGTGTGCTCTTTCCAAAACAACTTGCCACCAAGTCTGCTGAAGGGCTGGTGGCTTGGCAGTGTGGGAGGGCAGGAGCTTCGGTGGGAAGAGATGTTGGCCACCTGTCTAGCATTTGGCTCAGACGATGACTGGAGTGACAGGCATCTGCCTCAGGCTGCAGGTACATCAGCAGCTTCGAGAGGAGCTGGCCAAGGTGAAGACCCTGGAAGGCGTGGCTGCTGTGAACCAGGCTCTAAAGCTTCGGTGCCAGGCAGGTGCGGGGCTGAGGGAGCCCAGTAGGTTGTGGAAGGGGCCAGAAGCTCAGGTCTTTGACAGGCCTTGCACCTTCGCAGGAAGACATGTCTAGGCAGCAAGAAGGAGTGAAGCCAACTGGCAACTTACCTGCTTTCCACTGGATCTGCCAGCCCTACATCCGGCCAGGGTGAGCTGAGCAGCCTATAGTGGGAGTCCACACACAGGTGCCCTTTGCCACTTCCTCTAGTCACCAAGGCCAAGTTCCCATTTTGGGTGGAGGAAGCCACACAGAGCTTGTGTGAAGGTGCCTTGGGTACTTATCTAAGATCCTTTAGACCTGTCATCTGTGATCACAGCCTGCCTGGGCTTGGTGTCACAGACCCTGGGCCCCTCAAATTCGGATGTCATTCCAGGAAGTCTTAACTTCTCTGTTAGCCACTCTATTGTATGGGCTGTATCTATGTTCTGTGTTCTAGGACAAGCCCTCTTTGCCTGGGCAGCCAAGAATAGTTACTTGAGCTGGGTCCTTGGCACCAGTGCCCTCCATGGCCATCCAGCCCCTCCGCCTCGGAACCCCTCCCGAGGTCTACCCCGTTTGGCGATGGTAGACTGAGCCTGTCTTATAGGTGTCTTTGAGTATGCTCACTGCCCTTTCCTTAGCCCTAGGGAAGGGAGCAAGGGGAACAGTGGTGGTCGAGGCAAGCGGGCTCTGGAGGAAGAAGAGGGCAGCATGGATGGTTTATCCAAGAATAAGCTCAAGAAGCAGCTGAGAAACCCTCACAAAACCTTCGACCCTTCCCTGAAACGTAAGTGCTGTTCTTGCCATTCAGGCCAGGATAGTTGGACAGGCTGCCTGGAGACCTTCATTCTCTTCATCTTCTTTACTGGGATAGGAGTCCAGGCCTGTCAGGACAATTCTCAGACCAGACTTTGGATATGACACTAAGAACCTGTGAAGAGCCTTTGAGTCTGATCTACAGTGTTGCTATAAACCTACTTGATGTATCAGACAAGGCCATTATATAAGCTCCTTGGCTAGGTTTCGGTCAAGTGACCATGGTTTTGGGTCGTGAGGGCTGTCGTTGTCCTGCTGCGTCCTGGGTGAGCTTCAGCCTTGCATGGGAGGTGGGGGGCAGTCACTGGGAACTCCGGCGAGCATGCAAGGTTGCTGTGCATTTGGATAGTGGTCAGCCAGGAGCCTGACTCAAACGGAAAGACCTGAAGGTCACTCGGGACTTCTCAGTATGCTTTCTAGGTGTGCAGCGTCGAGGTCTCAGTCCATGCATTGTCCTGTGTCCTGGCCATTTTGGCAACCTGAGCTCTTACACTCAGCTGCTTCCTTTCCTAGAAGTTCAGCAGTCTGGTAGCAGCTCCCTGGGAGTCTTATCCGATAGCTTTAAGAGTCTGGGGAGATGGCAGGAACCACCTCGTCACAGCTTGGTCTACTTTTGTACAGGAAATGCCACAGGAGTTTCTGCACCACAGGAAGGGGCATCAGGACAGGGCTCTGATTGTGCCTTTTTTGTTTTCTGGTTTCTTGACATAGTCCCAATCTGTAATCCTAGCTGCCTTGGACCTCACTGTGTAGTTCACACTGAATTTACACTCAGCAGCAAGCTGGGGGCTAGGGGTGAAGTGGGCAGCCCACCTGCTTCCACTTGTTTGCAGTGAGGCCCTACCGGCCATCTCCTGTCATAACTAGTCTCCTGGCCCAGGTGGTCACAGTAAGCTCTGTGGAGGGGATGGCGGCTGCTCACCCTGGCTTGCCTCATGCTCACCTCATTCAACCTGCCCTCTTTTTGTTTTGTTTTGTTTTTTTCCAGCCAAATATGCCAAGTGTGACCAGTGTGGAAACCCAAAGGTGAGCCGGCCCTTCCTTCGCTCTGTGGGCAGGGCAGTCCCCAAAGATGTTCCAGAGACTCTTTATGGTACTAGAGTCTGTCTGGTACTACCTACCTAGAATTTAGTCTGGGTGCGGGTGTTGGCCTCAGTTCACTAGCTTCTTATACACAGGGCAATAGGTGTGTGTTTAACCTGTGCCGTGGCTGCTGCAAGAAACGAGCCTTCAGAGAAACAGCAGATTGCCCAGGTGAGTGGATGTCCGCTGTAACCCGCCCATCCACCTGCAGCAACAGTGGGCACCTTGGCCTCCTCACCCACATTCTCCTCTTGCCCTCCTGTCAGGTCATGGATTGCTTTTTAAGACCAAATTAGAGAAGTCTCTGGCCTGGAAAGGGACCCAGCCTGGGCTGCAGGAGCCTCAGCAAGTGAGGCCTGGAACACCAGGTGGTTTCTCTGAAGTTGTGGGGAGTGCCCTAGCCTGAAAGCCAGCAGGAGCCATCTCCACTCCAGGACAGCCACTGACGCCTGGACACTTAAGGAAATACCTTTTCTCAGGGAATCTCCTATCGACACAGGAGGACATGTTGATGTCTTTAGGCGGGGGCCTGGCAGTACTGCACCAAGGGTGGCCTTGGCTGGACTTGCCCTGTCCCCACACTTGTTTTCAGCATTGAACAATAAACCATTCAGAGATCTAGTAATGGCCTATGGCTGTTGCTCCCAGCCCACATCCAAGGAGGCTCTCCGGCTCCCTGCCCCTCTCCGCCTCTTCTAAGTGGTCAGGGTCTCCAGGGGACACAGGCAGATCGCCCTGGATCGGATCGTCCAGAGCAGAAAGGAAGAGAGCCTATGGTCAACCTGTATTTTAATGGACTACGCGGTCAGTGACACTGCTGCAGTCACAACTACACATGGACAGGAAGGGTTGGAGGTACCCTACCTGGGCATTGCACATGGTCTGTTCATTGGGACAGAGACCTAGAGTCAGGCCTGAGTGGCCATAATGGGCAGCCTGCCTACCACAGCAGAGGGTACCTCAGAGTGGAAGGCCCATGAACTGGCATCCAAGGCCAGGCTGCTCTAACGAGCCACACAGTCTGGGGTCTCATCGCGAGAAAAGCAGGCAGGAGGCCCAGGTGCTGCTTCCACAAGCAGAGCAGGTGTGCGGAGCATCCTCTGAAGGTCATGGGGCGCCTCTCACATGTTAGTGCTCATCCGTGACTGGCTGTTGGCTGGAGTCAGCTCCCCTTGGCTCCCTTCTCTAGGAGGAGACTGAAGTGGACACGGGGGTTCAGTGGAGGCTGTGGAGGCACTGCCCATCCCTCCGCACACCAGGCTGCTCACCTTGACATGTATCTGGTTGCGTAGCACAGCTGCCCTGAGAATCATGGCCTTGGCACGTCGCTGGAACTCCTTGCCCATCAGCAGGGATTTCTCAAAGGTGGTGCTGCGCTGGTCCACATCACGAGCATACAGTATCTGTAGAGGCACAAGAGGAGGCTCGAGCGGCGCCCCAGCTCGCCACGGCACACAGCCCCAGCCCAGGCCCCGAGTGCCCACCTTGCTGTGTGAGTCGATGCGGGCGTTGATGAGCCCCTCTAGGATGAGCTGCGTCAGCTCGTCCTCCAGGGCTGCAACTGTTGTGTTGAAGGCCGCAGCCATCTTGTGCATGTCAGCTGACACGTAGGGGCTGAAGTACTACAGGACAGAAGCTACAAGCTGTCCACTGCCCTCAGAATGTCTGCACTCCACACCGCCCTTGCCTAAACCCCCCCACCCCCAGCACTCACACTTACCTGAATGAGAGCCCGGTTGCGGATCTGGGTATACAGTGTCCTGACGTGAGGAGCCAGGTACATGTCCAAGAGCAGGTTGTCCTGCAGAGGAGAGCTGCTCAGTGGCCTGGGCACAGCCTGCCCAGCTCCAGGGTGACTAGTCCCCACCCTTACCTTCATCTCGTCCAGCATCTTCAAGCAGGATGCATACTTGGACTCATAAAACTTAAAGATGATGTCTCTGACCTGTGGTTCCAGCTCCAAGAACAACTTGAAGGAGCTGAGGACACCACAGAGTGTCAGCTAGGAAGGGACACAGGGCTTGGCTTGGAAAGGCAAAGGTTGAAGGAGCCCACCACCCAACCTACCTGCTAGAGATGACATTGCGTTGCAGCTCCTGCCGGTCAAAGGTGGCTAAGGCACACAGGCCACCATACACAGCCACATTGCTGGGAGACAGCAGCTGAGAGGCAGAAAGGGAGGTGGGTCCAGAGACCTGGGATCCTGGGCATTGACCAGTGCACAGACCAAGAAGCCCAGAGTTGGGGCCTGCCCTGCCCTTCCCATTACCCACTCAGACAGTGCTTACACCCTCCTTTACACAGGGTTTCTCTGTGTAGCCTTGGCTGTCCTGGACTTGCTTTATAGACCAGGCTAGCCTCGAACTCACAGAGATCCACCTGTCTCTGCTACTGTGAGTGCTAGATCACAGGTGTGTGCCACTGTGTCCAGGTTAAACCCTCACTCTCATGAACCTGGACGAGCTGAAGGGTCCCTCATGCTCCTTACCTCTGGGAAGTCGCAGTGATCAAAAGAAGCCAGAAGGAAGCACTTTGCAGCTTGCTTATACTTTCGAGCAGCCAACTCGGCCAAGCCTAACGGATCCAGGGAGGTGAGACAGGAAGCTGAGCTATTTCGAGCAGGCCGCTAGAGCCCTAGGAGCCCGTGGCTATCAGTACAGAGCCCCGGCCTCCTGCAACCAGTATCCTTAGTTTAGGAACAGAGATCCTAGCTGTCAGTAACAGCACCTAACTGAAGACATTCCTGTGAATTATGTCTGCAGGGAATCCTCAGAATGAAATAACACACAGCCAGGCTCAGGGAAACCAGCTACCCTTCTGTGGGCCCCACCAGCTTCTCTATTTGAAGTTGAGCAAGTGTCCCTAGCCCCCGCCACAGCATGGTATCCACTGACACCCTGAAGCCTGCCAGTACTGCGTCCCCAGCTATTCCCCCAGGGTGGGCGGGAGGTGCCTGGGAGCCTCACCCGCAGCACACTTGAGCTTGGTGAGGATGGCCTGGGTCTGGCTGTCCCGCTCTCCACGCTGCTGCAGGGGAAGACAGCAGACATGAGGCCGCCTACCCTGCCTCCTTGTTGAAGGAGCTCTACCTCCTGTCCCACCCTACCCAGAGAACAGTCAAAGGCAGGCTGAGGCGAGGACGGGATGAGGCCCTGGGGCTGGCCCTTCTAAAGCACGGGATCTGTGGAGGTGACTTTACCTCAGCGATCTCTGGAGTAGACTCGGCCTTGCTGACGTAGCTTAACACATGAGACCAATTTTGCAAGTAGACACTGACCTGGCACATGAGCAGGTAAGGACAGAGTAAGTCTGGGTTGTCCCTATGGGGCCCTCCATGTCTACCCACCGGTCACCCAGGCAACCTTGATGACATTGAGGCACATGTTGATGACATGCTTAGCACTGGTGCAGTAGTCTCGAGCTCGTGAGTAACACTTGAGGGCATTGCTGAGGTCCCCACAGTCCAGGTAGTGGTCACCCAGGTCATCATGGCCACGCCTGTAGGCCTGACAGTGAGTGGATACTGGTCGAGGGGCCAGCCAGGCCCAGCTGCCCACCTCCCCTGCCCGGAGCAGGCCAGCACCTGATACTCTCTTTGATAGAATTGCCCTTATAATTCTTCAGGTCCGTGTCCAGCTTCTCCAGCTTCAATAGGGCCTTCTTCCGAGTGGCCTCCACCCAGGCTGTGTCCAGGGGAGGAGGCTCCACTGCACTCTCAGGGACAGCGTCTGCTGCGTCCTGCAGCTCCCTGCAGGGTGACCTAGCCATCAGGGTAGGGTAACTACCAGGGAGGCCAGGGAGGAAGGGACACCGCTTCCACAGGCCGGCCCTCAAGAGGCCTTTGCCTGTTTCCCTGCCCAATAAAAGGGGGCAGGCTGTACCAGGGGCACAGAGAAAACTGCTGATCAGAGAGCCCAAAGCCAGATAAGGACGTTCAATGGAGAATGAGTGGTTTCCACCCAGTAAAGCCAGGGTTTTTTTTTTTTGTTTTTTTTTTTTGGGGGGGGGGGGGGAGGGGTGAGCAGCTACACCAGATTCTTAAGAATTAGAAATCCCAACTGTCCACACAGAGGCAAAGGAGGCCAGGAAAGAGAAAACAAGGCCTGCTACCATTTCCTTGTTCCAAGGAGGAAACATGTTCATGTTTCTGGTATGTAGAGGGACTGCTCCGGGCACATCACCAGGGAAATGCTGGGCACACAGGAAAGGCCCGTCCGAAGCCCTGCCTTGGTCACTTGCCCCTCCCAGGCCTCACCTAGTAGCCTCGGAGAGCTTCCGGTGTATCTCTTCATACATGTCCACATTGAAGGTCCTCTGCACGAAGGACAGGGCCATTTTCAAGGCCTCTACCCGCAGCGGAGGGCAGCGGTCAGCAATAAACTGCAGCCGCTCAATTCTCATCAGGCCGCTGTAACTGGCCGCGTACTGCTCCAGGTCCTTGAGGGGAGGGGTAAGAGGGTCAAGGGGGTAAGCAGGGGCCTGACAACCTGAGCCTTGGGCCTACAGTCCTGGATACTATCCAATTCTGGAAGAGACCATAAGGGATTAAGGACCTTCAGGTTCAAGCTCTGCACTGGCAAGTGGGAACATGACTATACCCTGACAAGTGATGGTGCTGGGCTGAGCACAGAGGAAAGCGTGTTGGCTGTACGCAGACCTTTGCGTCACACCGTGCCTTACTAGAGCTGCTCCCTATGGAAGTGGGTTTAGGGTCATGGAGGTGCTGGGAACACACGAGTGGGCAAATGGAAACGCGGCTTCCTGGCTTAGAAAGATGTGATTAACCTGGTCACTAAGAAGCATCAATCTTCCTGGAATATACACCACAGTAGGGAGGCCGACTTGGACCCCTCAACAGATCGAGGGTGCCGGCAGCCCTCCCCCACACGGAGATCCATACCAGAGTGGGGTTCTCCACCACATAGTTCACATCAGGTGCGTTCTGGGGATCTTCCTGGGGATCTACATCAATCTGCATGGGCTCCACCGCCCCCTAAAATAAAGAAAGCACCTTGACACATGGCACCAGGGAAACCGGGGGATGCTCCTGTCCCCCATGGTCAGTTCTGCCCAAGACTTTCCAAGGCAAGACTGCACTGGGCTCCCACAGGTGCTGGCAGCCAAGTGCCCTCCTCAGCTCTCCCACCCCAGTCCTGACTGACTTCAGGAGCCCTCCAGCGCTCCCTGCCGCCATCCTGATGCAGCCTCCTCCAGGCCAGAGACTGAAATTTGCCACCCTCTCTCCAAGAAGTCCGGAGAGCCAAGGCAGGCAGGCCACGACGTGGAAGAGGACGGTGGAAGATTGGAGGGGCCCAGGGCCTCCAACGACAACGGGGAGAGCCGCTTCCCGCCAGGCGCGCAGCGGTACCTCGGAGAGCAGCGTGCAGGCCGACAGGCTGGCGCTCAGGCTGTAGTCGCCCGACGTGCCGGGCCGCAAGTCCGACCTGCTGTGAGCAGGGCTGCGGCTCAGGTCGGAGGCCGACGACGAAGCGGAGCTGGGCGCCGGGCTGCCCCGCATCCTGACCGCCGCACCTCTCCTGGGCAGTCGGCACCCGCACGAAAAGCGTTGGCGCGCGAGGCGGGGGCGGGGCGGGGGCCGGGGCCCAGAGCGGCCCGCGAGGCAGGCGACGCTCACGCGCCAGGCCAGGGCCGCGGGCCCCGCCCCGCCCCGCCCGCCGCCAGCCCCGCCCACCAGGCCCGCTCTGGACGGAACGGCCGCGCGGCGGGCTCGGCCAGCAACCCCTACCTGCAAGTTGAACACCTGAACCGGCAGCGGCATCTTCCACCCCCGGCGCCGCACAGCGACGTTCACTTCCGGGGCGGCGCGTCCGTCAGTTCCGGGTCACGGCTCGGGGCGGGGCGCTCGTTACTCTTAAAGGGGCCGCCGCACTCGCAGGCGGGCGCCCAGCGCCCGGGCCGGGGCGAGCGCATGAGCCGCGCGCGCGGGCTGCTGTGCCGCGCCTGCCTCGCGCTGGCCGCGGTGCTGGCTGTATTGCTGCTGCTGCCCCTGCCCCTGCCGCTGCCTCGCGCGCCCGGCCCGGACTCCGGCCGGCTCCCGACCCCGGGCCGGACCCCCGGGGTCTCCCGCCTGCAGCCCGACGACATCTTCATCGCTGTCAAGAGCACTCGGAAGAACCACGGTCCGCGCCTGCGGCTGCTGCTGCGCACCTGGATCTCGCGAGCCCCACGACAGGTGCGCGCCCCAATCCGCCCCGTGCCGTGGAGGTTCTTGAAACCCTTGCTGGGGTCCCTGCGCCCGTGGGCCCGGGGCTCCGCACCCGCTCCCGGACCGTCACGGGATCCTCCGGCGCCTTACGGTGTTTTCTCCCACAGACGTTCATCTTCACCGATGGAGACGACCCTGAGCTCCAGCAGCTGGCCGGTGAGGCGCTCCCCCGCACTGAGTTGTACCTACTGGGGCCGTTCGTGCTTGTGTCAAACAGCCCTCCAATCATCAGATCCCCCCCCCGAACCCCCAGTTCCTGGCAAGGTGCCGCGGCCTCTGACCAGTGTCACCCTCGTCACCTGCCACGTCCTGTCCTGTTTCCCACCTGTTCTGTTCTAAGTCACTGTTGTCTGCTTCAGGATGAGCTGTGTAGGGCTGCAGTTGGACCTGATCCATTGGCTGGACAGGCCTATTCCAGCCTAAAGCTAAGGAAGCGTGCTGGAAGTCACCCCTCACGCTACCCGTTTCCAACCGTGCAGGCGGCCGCATGATCAACACCAATTGCTCTGCTGTGCGCACCCGCCAGGCACTATGCTGTAAAATGTCGGTGGAATACGATAAGTTCATAGAGTCTGGACGAAGGTAAGTCACCCCGCCCACCAGAGGACCCAGGACTGAGCCGCGTGGAGGCACCCACCCAAACGGGGCCTCAGTGCATAGGCCTCTCCCTTCACCTCCAGATGGTTCTGCCACGTGGATGATGACAACTACGTGAACCCCAAAAGCCTGCTGCACTTGCTTTCCACTTTCTCATCCAACCAGGACATCTACCTGGGACGACCGAGTCTGGACCACCCCATCGAAGCCACTGAGAGGGTCCAGGGCGGTGGCTCAGTGAGTGCTGGGCCAGCATCCTCCCTGGGGCCGCAGGAGTGAGAAAGGGCTAAGGCAGGTGTGGGCTGGGTACTTTGGTTCCAGGCCCCGTGGAGCTGGCAAGCCAGGCCCAGCGATGGAGAAGGGCCTCCGAGTGACATGTTAGGAACACCTTTGCCTTCTGCAGACTCCTGCATAGTGGCCTAGGAAAACAAGATTCAGCTGGACGGTTGAGGGCCAGGCGCCGTCCTGGGCAGCCTTGACCAAGCTTTCTCTTTTTCCAGTCGAACACAGTGAAATTCTGGTTTGCTACTGGTGGGGCTGGGTTCTGCCTGAGCAGGGGCCTTGCCCTCAAAATGAGCCCATGGGCCAGGTAAGTGGGAGACTGGGCGCCCAGCTGCCTGGTTTGGGGGTGGTTAGGGCTGTGGAGGCACTGGCTAGTGTGCCCTCCAGCCTCGGCAGTTTCATGAGCACGGCGGAACGGGTACGGCTGCCTGATGACTGCACAGTGGGCTACATCGTGGAGGGGCTCCTGGGTGCCCGGCTGCTCCACAGCTCCCTGTTCCACTCGCACCTGGAGAACCTGCAGAGGCTGCCGTCCGATGCTGTTCTGCAGCAGGTAGGAGGGCCCAGCCCTTGGCACGGGCTCTCCCGGTGTGGCCAGGCTTAGGAGAGGGCTAGCCCCAGGGTTCTTGTGCCTGGGCGGTGGACCTGGGCAGAGACTTTGCCTTCTGGATGAAGGGCCTCCATCCTGCTTCCCTAAGCCCGAGGGGTGAGTGACGTTTCCTCTGGCAGGTGAAGGACCCCAGAGGAAGAACTGACCCTCCCTCTCCCTGGTCTCCCCTCCCAGGTCACCCTGAGCTATGGGGGCCCTGAGAACCCACGTAATGTGGTGAACGTGGCCGGAAGCTTCAGTATACAACAGGACCCTACACGGTGAGTAGATGCTGGGGGCTTTTGGGCCTGGTGGGCTCTGGTGTCAGACCCCCACCCAGTAGACCTGAGCCTCCTTCTTCCCCTGACAGGTTTCAGTCTGTGCACTGCCTTCTCTATCCAGACACCCACTGGTGTCCTGTGAAGAACAGGGCTGAGGCGGCTTTTCAGTAACTGGCGGCCCCTGGCGCTGCTCTGTACGGCTCCCTCAGCCCTTGGGTTCAGGCTGAAGCTGCTTGCAGGCTCCCAGGCTCCCTGCTCCAGTTGGACACCAGGAACCTCCGGAAAATGAGGACAGCTGGGCCGTGCATGCTGAGATCATCCCGGAACAAACACTGCTGAGCCTCGATGCCTCTAGCCCAAAGGTCCTTCCCACGGCTAAGGTCTCCTACCCGAGTGTCTGTGGCCCAGGAGGGGACTGGTTCTCAGCCCCCCACAGCTGCAGCTTTCCTCACCTGTGGAAGATGGTCCAGGTGGGCTGGCCAGTAAGGGGTGGGCTCCAAGCCTGCCCACAGGCCCTTCCAGAGGGCTCACAAGGCCCCCGCCACCACCCAGGATGTGCAGATGACCTGGCCAGTGGACACGAACGACCAGCTCCAAGGCTGCGCTTCCAAGCAGAGCTGCTGTTCTGCCACCATCCGTGGCCTCCCGAGCTTCCCGCAGCCAACAGCACAGCTCGACCCTTCCCTCTGGGCCCCTCAGGAGCAAGAGGCAGACCCAGGGGCACCCGGGGGGACTGTCAGAGGATTGAGTAAAGGCGTCTCTGTCATTTCCAGTTGGGGTCCTCTTGTGATATGTGACCGAGACACTTGGCAGCTCAGCTTCGCGGATGTCCACACACAGCTCCCTCTCTCAGGAAGGCCTGTTGCTGCAGCCCTGCCCACCTCCTTAACCTAACATACGTGAGGCCAAACAGGACTAGAGTGGGCTTCCTCAACACCCACGGTGGAACTGCCGCCGCACATACGTAAGCGCGGCTGTGTGTGTAACTGTGCCTGAGTACAAAGGCCAGTGTGGGCACATGTGTTTTGTGCATGGGTTTGCTGGTGATCTGAGAGCGCAGGCACAGCTGCTGTGTGCATGGCTGTGCCTTGGTAATAGCCTGTGGGTGTGGCCATGTGAGTGGTGTGCTTGGGTACGGGGGCGTAGCTGTGGCTGCTGTGTGGACAGGTGTGCCTGGGTGCCTGGACACACACTGGCCCACCGCAGTGCCTACCACGCAGTGTGAAGGTATGAGTGTGGGCTACAGAGCCCACATTAAGAGAGAAAATAAGCTGGACATGGTGGCACACAGCTTTAGTCTCATCCCTCAGGGGGAAGAGGCAGCTGGAGGCCAGCCTGCTGGACAGAACTAGTTCCAGGCCAGCCTGGGCTACGCAGAGAGGCCCCGCCTCAGGAAAAGAATAAAACAGATGCTTTGTACTGGAGGGTGGTGTCTGAGGGCAGCCTCCATGCACGTGTGAACAGGTCCAAACAATGCACCACGCCGGTGTGGGTCAGATCGTCCAGGGCTTGGGGCTTGAGATGGCTGGAGCTCCAGGGAGAGGCTGTGGCTGTGTACAGACAGGCTCTGGGTGGAGGGGCAAGGGCTGAGGCTGGGAAGCAGGCACGGTTCAGCCTCCAGGTTAGACAGCCTGAAGCGAGAGAGCGGGGAGTCGGAAGCTGCTGCAGAGTCCTGACGTGACCTTATGGTGCTCTGAGGGAAGTGTCCGCTCATCTGTGACCCGCTCACCTGCCTGTGCGCAGACGTGGAAATGTGGCAAGGCTTAACTCCACCCAGCACCTGGGGTTCGGAGGCCTCCCCTTGGTCCGTAGCCTGCACTGTGCTCGCTCAAGGCTCCTCCAGAAAACATTGTCCTTGGGTTACAGGGGTAAGGATGGAAACGGCCACACCAACAGGAGGGTTGTCCACAGACTCTTCGGGGTGACATGACTGCTCAAAACAGGCCAGGTCTCAACCGCCAGAAGCTGTGCAGCTTGCCACGGGACAGAGAACACGTGGCTGTGTCTTCAGAGTCCACACCTGCTGGGGCCCTCGCTGTAACCTAAGCACCACACAGCTCACCGATACCCAGAAACTGCTCCTGCTCCCTCATTGCTACCTTTGACTCATGAGCTCATCGTTTGAGAGCGCCCTGGCGCACAAGCCCCTATTTCTAAACGGCCAGTATGTTCCAAATGCCGTAGCCTTCTCCTTGTCACACTGAAGATGGCTTTACTGTCCACAGTTTCTTATTCGCTGTGGGGGAAGGTGGTGTGTGCGCGCGCACATGTGTGTCTGGGAAGGAGAGATGCTCACATAGAGGTCAGAGGCTGACGCTGGCTGTCATCTTCAATGGATTCCACATTGTTTTGAAACAGGGTCTCTCAGTGACCTGAAGTGTACCATTTCAGCTAGACTGGAGGCCAGGGAGCTGCCACCGTCCCTCCCTCCCAGGATCCTCCTGTCTCCACTTCCCCAGAGCTTGGGGGACCGATTCCTGCTGCCTCCTCACTCAGCTTCTTACCTGCATCCCAGGGATCCAAACTGAGGTCATGTTTGCACACCGTGGACACTACCCCTCCAACCATCTCTCTTATCCTCACTTTTGGATTCTTCAGGATGTATGGGGAGAGAGCCGTGTTTCTCTTCCTGTTAATTCCTAAGCGTCAGCAGCTCTGGTTGGGTCCCACTAGCTTCACTGAGAGTTTCCAGTTGCTCTCAAACACTTAACTTTCTGCCGGGTGGTGGTGGTGGCGGTGGCCGAAGCACGCGCCTTTAATCCCAGCCCTCGGGAGGCAGAGGCAGGCGGGACTCCGAGTTTGAGGCCAACCTGGTCTACAGAGCGAGTTCCAGGACAGCTACACAGAGAGACCTGTCTCAAAACAAACAAACAAAAAACAACTTCTTGGGAAATGCCTTTGAAAAATCCTAAGGCTTCATCCTCAGAGCTGACTCATCTGACAATTGTGTTTGTGATGCTGAAGCCCGAAAGCCTTCCAAGGCTTCTTGGATGTTTTGTCTTTAATTCAAACCCGGAGCTGCACACCAAATCTCCACTCAGGGAAGATGCAGCAATGGGCTGAACTGATCCGGATGGGAGCTTAAACAAACAACAAAAGGGAGGAAAAAGTCCCTCTCTTTGTAGAAGCGAATCTCTGAGTTTGGGCTGTCAAATGACCTGTGTCATTTGGCTCACTTTTCTTTTCTTAACATATTTTAATTGATTCTTTGGGGATTTTCACATCACACACCCTATCACACCCTGTTTCCAGTTCTTCCCTGTCTTTCCCTGAAACCCTTGGTACCTCCCCGCTAGCTACAAAAAAGAAGAAACAAAAAGTCCAATTTGTTTTATCGGTATATTCCCTTGGCCAAGTGGCAACATCTTCGTGCTTCTCTTGCGTGACTAGCCATGCACTCTTGTCTAGCTCTTGGCTGTGGTTACAGACTTTCTAACCATTTTCCACTCCGATCCCTGCACTCTAATACCCTGGAAAGAGAGCCAAGTCTCAGACTTGGGGTCTGAGTGGGCTAGCTCCCAGCATGGCATGAGGAAGACCAGAGGGGCAGACATGCCTCAGGAGCCAGGGTAGAGTCTGAGATACACAGCAAGAAGTGGCAGGTAAGGGAGGCTGGCTGCTGAGGCTGCTCCCGGTGTGGCAGGCACAGACAGCAGGGGCCGCTGCAGTACCGAGGGACAGCCCCTGGCTCTGCAGGCTCGGCGCTGGCTCTGGCCAGGACTGAGGTCACTGAAAATAAAGTCACCGAGGCTCTTTATTTTCTCCTTTGTAAAGAAAAGCTGAATCCATGGCCAAGGGCCTGCTGAGTTGTTTGTGTGTGTGTTTCCTAGCAATGGTGGCTGAATGTCAATGTTCTTTCTAACAGTCACACCTGAGTTGTGCACAGTCCCATAGCGCCCTCACATTCTCCTGAGACGCAGTGGCTGGAGATCACAAGGAAAAAAGAAAGAAGCACCAGGGGCTGGTAAGGCAGGGGCACACCGGGGTCTCAGTGTCAGGGCCGGGGATGGTCACACCCACCGGGGCGTAGTTCTTTCTGTGTTTGTTCGATGTTTGGTTGGCTCCTCCCTCCCCCAGCAAGATTTCTGTGTGACAGAAGATTTAAAATCCGAAAAGTAGGAAGGCTTACGGGGCCACCTGTGTGACCTCTGTGCTGACCTAAGGGCCTGGGATATGGGAATGTGCTGTTCTGGTGCCCCAAGGAGAATTCAGCCGCTTGGTCCTCATCAGGAACCTTGTCAGGCACTGTGGAGTCTAGAACTCAGTAGACTGTAGGAGTGAGTGCTGAGAGCATGTGTGGTGTCACGGACACATCCGGGCCCCCAGTGCCTCAGGCCCTCGGGGAGGCAGAGCTCCAGGCCCTGGTCTGAGGGGAGGTGAAGACTTCCTCTGGCCTGATTGGGAGGTTGACGGTGTTTGTGTAAAATGCTCACTGTCGCTTTCTGCACCCTGGATTACTTCCGTGTGTTCCCCTGCAGAGGGAAGCTACACAGCTTCTCTGCTCGGCCTATGCCGCAGCCCTGTCTCCCTATGGAGCACACTGGTTCTCCGGTGCTGTGGCTTCTCCGTCAGACCTCCTGACCCAGCTTCTCCGGGTGTCCATATACCTGTTGTTTCTTCATTTCCTCACAGGCCCTAGTGAGGACTCCAGGATCCAAGCTGTGCCAGGACACAGCAACAGACATGATGTCTGTAAGCATGTGCTCTGAATCGGCGTTGCCATTCCCATGTATGTATCATGGGCACATTTGCCTGTTGTCTCTGATGTCAGATGACAGGGGCAGCGTGGCCTTGTTGGATTCAGCTGATGAGATGCCCTGAGCAAGAAGAGCTGCTCCCCCGCCCATGCTGGGCACACTTACTTTTTGGCTCAGGCTCTTACATGGTCCAGGATGGCCTAGACCCTGCTGTGTACGTGACCTTGAACTTCTGATCTTCTGCCTGCTCTTCACATTCAGTGGTCACAGGACTTCACACCTCATCACAAGACTCCTTTTGCACAGTGCTGGGGATGCAACCCAGAGCTCTGTGCATCCGACATGTGTGCTGTGAAGGTGCTCACACCCCTAGCCCTCTTTTTTTTTTTTTTTAATTTATTTATTATGTAGACAGTGCTCTATCTGCATGTTACACTTGCAGGCTAGAAGAGGGCCCCAGATCTCATTATAGGTGGTTGTGAGCCACCATGTGGTTGCTGGGAATTGAACCCCTGGAAGAGCAGCCAGTGCTCTTAACCTCTGAGCCATCTCTCCAGCCCCGTAGCCCTCTTTTTTAAATTGTGGGGGGGTATCATGTTCAGAGAAACCATTAACCTCATTTGAGGCCAGGCGTGCATTGGACTAGAGGTCACAAATATGTGGCTGCTGGCCGGTGAGCCTCGGGGTCTCCCTGCCCACTTCCTGAGCATGGGGATGAAAGAGCGTGCAGTAGCCTGCCGTTGTTACTGGCCTCTTCAGGTCTCACAGAAGCCCTCCCGCTTACCCACAATGCTATCTGCTCAACCCCTGATAAGGTGTTTCGCTTTTGAGACAATGTTGCACTGTGTAGCCCTCGCTGGCCTAGAACTTACTATGTAGACCAGGCTACCCTTGATCTCACAGAGCTGGGACTGCCTCTCCCTCCCAAGTGCTGTGGTTAGAGGGGGCGCCGCCACCACCACCACCGTCCTGAGGCGCACTCAGCCCCCTTTCCTGTAGAATGCAGGACCACCAGCCCGGGGAGGGCCCCACCCACACTCCCTAGGCCCTCCCCACGGATCACTAGCTAGGAAAATTCCCCCCACCACCGATCGCATGCAGGCGTTTTCTCAGTTGAGGCACCTCTTCTCTGACTGTCTCCCCCGTGTCATCCAGGACAGGGGCTGAACAAGCCGATCCCACTCTCTACAGCTGATCAGTCCAGCAAGCTTTGAGAAACTTCGCCCTTGTGCTAGGGGCTCCTTGTGTTAAACCAACTTCCATTCAGCCACTAACCATGACAGGAAATCAGGGCATCTGTGTAAGCCTCTCCACCCAGGCCTTCTGCACAGGACGGTGGGCTTTGGCAACCCACAGATGGCCGTGCAATTCTTCTTGGTGCACCAGCTGTGAGTTTTCAGAGTCTGGGGTGCCATGGTCCACTTACTCAGGCAAATTAGCCCAGCCTAGCTGGTATGGAGGGGAGGCATGCTGGAGTCTGGAATTGGGGGTGGGGTGGAGTGGGACGACAAGAAGGAAGCAGAACTGTTGAGCTGGGTTGAAGGCAAGGTCTGGTTGTGAGGATGGGGCCAGGGAGGCCTGCAGGGGGTCCACCTCCTGGGGAGTCTAGGAGGCCAGGTAGCCAGCGTCCACCAGGATGCCTGAGCCACTGGTGGAGGCGCTGCTGTCGCTGAGCAGGAAGAGGATGCTGTGGACGACGTCCTCCAACTCTGCAGCAGGCAGACCCGTCAAGCCTTGCTTTCGTGGCTGCTGAGCCCGCCCGACTCCCTCACCCGCCCGACTCCCTCACCCAGCCGACCTGCAAACTTCCTCAGTGGGTGGCGCTCCTTGAGCTTCCTGGCCCAGTCGGGGTCCTCGGAGACTTTCCTGCCCATGTCAGTCAGCACCACAGTGGGGTTTACAGAGTTCACCCGGATCTGGGGCCACAAGCCACGGCTGGTGTCACAGCCAGGGGACCTGCCCTGCCCCCCAGCTCAGGACTCGCCCCAGGCCTGGCCCAGCGCTCAGAGCCTCAGCTCACCCTCAGCCTCAGCCCCAGCCCTGCCCCACTGCCCATCAGCTGTCCCTCAGGTGTGGCCCAGCCCCCTGTGCCCACCTTGTGTGGCCCCAGTTCCATGGCCATGGCTTTGGTCAGCATGGTCATTGCGCCCTTGGTGGAGCCTGTGGAGGGGTGGGGCGTGCTGAGGACCCTTCATTATTCAGTCCTGCTCCTGGAAGGCCCACCAAAAACCTAGACTCAGGTAGTTTTTAGAGTGTACACTCACTGTAGGAGCTCAGGTTAGGAAAGGTGACGTGGGCCACCATGCTGGAGACATTGACGATGGACCCGGCCACTCCACGGTCAATCATGTCCCTGGCCACTATCTGGAGGAAAGAGCTGGGGTCGCTCACCATGCCCTAGCCCACCCTGTCCAGGTGCTGAGGCCTATCTGGGCTGAGGCCCTCCTACCTTCTCACCTGAGACACCTGAAACACAGAGCGGAGATTCACATCGAAGGACCTGCAGGAGAGGCGCAATGAACAGCCTCTTACACCTCTGGTCTTCGGCCACCTCCCCCGGCCGGCCGCTCTCCCCAGTGCCCACCTGTCAAAGGCTTCCTTGGTGACCTCCAGGAAAGGCTGGGCGATAAGTACTGCTGCGTTGTTCACCAGCAGGTCCATGGGGCCAACACCGCCCAGCGCCTTCTCTGTGGCCTCCCAGTCACCCAGGTCCACACACACCGGCTCTATCCCGGGACACTGTGGGTGACGGTGTTTGGTAGCTGAGGCACTGTTCCAGCCCCCTCCTGACGATCCCTTAGGGCTCGGAGCAGGCCCAGGTCAGGCAGGCTGCGTGCCTTACCTCTTTGGCAAGGCTGACCAGGTCTGCGTTGGTGCGAGTCACGGCCACCACTCTGGCTCCTGAGGCATGAGGGCCTTCACGGTGTCCCGGCCAGTCCAGTGGTAGGTCAGCAGAGCTGATGGACTCCTGGGGCCCGGCCACAGCAAGGTCTGGCTCCCTGGAGGGAGTGAAGGCTATTGCTCCCAGTGGTGGGAGGGTGCTGACCAGAATGCCGTGAGCCAGAAGGGGGGACTATCCCTGGCAGAGGTCAGACTGACCAGAAACAGCCCAAAGGAGGACCCAGAGGGCAGTGCCCTCCTGATGGGGTCCCTGAGAAGGACAGCACCAGTGCCCATCTGCCCAGTTTGCCGTAGGGGCTGCCTTGAAGCCAAGCTAAGCACATCCTTCAGAGCGTAGCACTGTGCTCACTAGAGTGTGCCGTTCTGTCCAGCCAGGGCAGGCACAGAGGTCCTGGGTGAAGAGGGAGTCAGGTTCTGGGGGGCTGAGCTGTGACAGGTCACCCTGGACCCCTGGTCGGTGTTGAGGCTGTCCTCCTTCTCCCCAGGAGAAGGAGGCCATCTTCCCAACCCGCTCACCCTCACCTTGCCCTGCCCCTGTGACCAGGGCCCTCAGGCCACTGAAATTCAGCTTCATGCTACTGAACCAAGGCCCCTGCAGCAGGGGAGGGCTGAGCTTGTTAAGGCTGAACTGGGGGTGGAACAGGGTGGGGGGTGGGCGCAGGTGACCTGCTCCTCCTGACACCCGTCCTCACTCCTCAGAAGTGTCACACAGCCGCTCATGTGACAAAAAGGAGTGTGCGCACATACACTGAGAAGGCAGTGGAAAGTCATGTGTGTGCACACACATCTGTGCCTGTGGAGGACTTGACACAGCAGGGTAGTGGGACAGGAAGCAGCAGCATTCCAGAACTGAGTCTTGAACCCAGCGCCCTGGAGCGTCCTAGGCCAATGATGCTCTCACTGAGCCAGACCCTTAACCCAGGCAGGTGAAATTCTGGGTTTGGGGTTTGTCTTATCTGGACAGAAGCATCAGCTTAGAACGTTTGTTTTATTATTATAAGTTATAAATCGTTTATTCTTATAAATGAGGACAGTGAGTGTCCCAGTCTAGCTGGAGCAGGTGGCCTAGATGCCTGCTGTTGGAGCAAGACCCTGGGCACTGGCCCCAAACGCCCAGGCACCCAAGGCTCCAGTGTGCCTGCAGTCTGCCCAGCGGTCCGCTGGTGTCCTCATGTCCACTGCTCCTTCCAGGTGCCCTCACCTGCTGCCCCCGCCAGCCTGGGCTCTCCGCCGAGGCACGGTCAGTCCCGAGGCAGGGCTCTGTAAACCTAAGCATGGACTCCAGGGTTTCCTGCCCAGGAGTGACCCCTGAGCCCCTCTGTGGGTCTCCTCAGAGTAGACAGGGGTCTTCTGAGAATGTACTGTCCATCTCAAGCCCACCTCAGGCAGCTTACCTAAGGGCGTGCTGAGGGTCTGTGTCCTGTGTCCCAGGGTTCATGGCACAAATGTTTCTGTCCAGAGAGACATGCCGCCTGCACCAGGCGGGAGGCTCCGGCACATGGCCCGCCCCACGGAGAGTGCCAGGAGCGGGTGTGCACAGACTCCCGCCTGCCACCTTTGCCTTGCTCAGTCTGGGCTCTGCACCGAGGCTGTGTGACCCTGTGAAGGACGGCAGCCGTATTTCAGGGGCGGCTCTACCTGCCCTGGGACTCGGAGGTCCCTGGCAGGGCTTGGGTGTGACTTCCTCAGAGAAGACTAAAGAAGTAGTCATGAGTGTGGGGACCACAGCAGTAGCCGCATTCTCTACTGGGTTGTCCACTGAGCGTTCGTCCACACTGCTCAGAGGGGCTTCTGGGACCTTCCTGGGTCTCAGGGGAGGAAGCACACAGTGGAGTACTGGGGGCGGCTCCATGCACACACAGGGGACCTGCTGCTGCCCGGCAAAGCGCACCTGCTCACTGAGTCCTTTTTTTT